GAGCCTTAAATTCCTGAATTTTATACACACACTTTGAGCTTGTGTTTCTAGTTATATACTCTCATATTCATAAGTTTATATTGTATTTTTGAGAGAGTATAATTTCCTTCTACACCGGCTAAGTTTTGTTCTTCATTTTTATATTCTAGCCGTTGTGTAGAATCCTATTTTGTGTTCTTCAAACACACCTTCTTATGGTCGAGAATAGCCGTTAAATTCTTATATTGTATCGGTCGAGGATAGCCGTATAAATCCTTGGGTAAAGGTTCAAGGATAGCCTTTGAAATCCTTGGGGGAACGGTAGAAGATAGCCGTTAAATCTTCGTTGTAAACGGTTCGAGATAGCCGTGGTGAAATCTCGGAGTGAATCCTATTGGCAAGGGTTGTTTGCCAAACTAGTGCGGTGCTTTGACGGAGTTCAAGAGACCGAGACTTAGTGGATTCGGAAATCCTTGAGGAGGAGCCTTGAGGTACTGGAGTAGGGAGTTCCCGAACCAGTATAAAATTGGTGTGCATTTTATTTACGCTTTTATTTCTGCGTTTTATATATTGCTTCCGCAATTGCCAACACCATTTTTACTTAACTCCAAAAAGTTTTTAAACGCCTTATTCACCCCCCCTCTAAGGCGTGGGTACAACGACTAAACCGACTAACACGAAGGGCCAAAGGCCGGCCTGATAAAGGTGCGCGTCGAGGTCGTCGTAGCCCTGCAGCTCCGGGTAGTGCTCCGGGATGATCCGTGGAGGAGCCACAACCCGTTTAGAGAAGAAAGTGAGGAAACGGGTGCGTTCCTCCTCGGAATCAAACCAAAGGTATGACCCGTTACCATAGTAGAGGCGTTCCTCGGTGGATGTCGTAGGCGCCTGGGATTTGGCCTTGGATTTGCCGGAAGCTCCTGCCCTGTTCTTATCTTTGCCCATGATGAAGAAATCTCAAGAGAAGAGAGTAGAAATGATGAAATAAGCAAGGATGTTGAAGAGAATTGTGTTTGTGTGTGTAAAAGTGAAGAGAGGAGGTCCCAATTTATAGAGAAAGAGGTCTCCAACGTCCAGATTTTCAAAAATATGGTTGTTGGATCAATTAATGCTGGTGCCAACGGATATTTTTTTTGAAAAATTTATCCAGAACAGCGATGTTCCAAAGGCTACATCGCTGTTGGGACAGCGATGTTGGGCCTCTGGACAGCGCTGTTATGCGTCAAGTTTTAAAAACAAGTGTTAAATGGACAGCGATGTTGGGTTCCCTACAACGATGTTCCAAATCATTCTGGAATTGTGTAAGGGGTTGAACCCATTAGAACAGAGCTGTTGGGTTTCTCTACATCGCTGTTTTACGATAGAAAAAAAATTGTAAAAGTGGACATCGATGTTGAAAGTGGGACATCGCTGTTTAAAAAGTTTCTGGTTTTGGTTTAAAACGAGGTGTTTTGGGTGGACAGCGATGTTGTAGGTTGGAACAACGATGTTCAAAAAGTTTCTGGAAAGTGAAGAGTAAGGGGTTCCCAGGGACAGCGCTTTTTGGCGTGTTGTACAGCGCTGTTGGCACAAACTGCTTGACGGTGTTTCTCTCAACAACGCTGTTTGGTCTCTTGGACAGCGCTGTTTGCATGGTTCCCCCTGATTCCATGAACGGGGTACCTGCAAAAAAAGAAAAAAAGTTCTCCGACGCTCAAGTTAGTAAGCGTTTGATAAGTTAAGATGCATAACTTAGATCATCGTGGAGTCAAGGATTCCGAGTTCACTTCGAATGCGGAAGAACGACTCTTTCTCTAAAGGTTTTGTGAAAATGTCAGCTAATTGGTTGTGTGTTTCAACAAACTAAATTTCGACATCACCTTTGAGAACATGATCTCTTATGAAATGATGCCTAATGTCAATGTGTTTCGTCCTTGAGTGAAGAACGGGGTTCTTCGTTAAGCTTATGGCGCTGGTATTATCACAACGAAGAGGGACGTGATTGATACTAAGGCCATAGTCCACGAGTTGTTGCTTCATCCAAAGAATTTGAGCACAACAACTACCGGCGGCTACATATTCCGCTTCGGTTGTGGATAACGCAACACTGACTTGCTTTTTACTAAACCATGAGACTAGAGAGCTACCAAGTAAGTGGCAAGTCCCACTCGTACTTTTACGGTCTAATTTGCAACCGGCAAAGTCCGAGTCGGAATAACCAACGAGATGACAAGAAGAGCCTTTTGGATACCACAATCCAACGTTTACCGTGTCGGCAAGATATTTCATAATCCGTTTTACCGCCGTTAAGTGCGATTTCTTCGGACATGATTGATACCTTGCGCAAAGGCAAACGCTAAACATGATATCCGGCCTACTAGAAGTAAGATAAAGAAGGGATCCGATCATACCTCGATACTTTTTGACCTCTACTTCCTTACCTTTCTCGTCTTTGTCAAGATGATCAGACGTGCTCATCGGGGTCGCCATGGCTTTGGCGCTGTCCATTTCAAATCATTTTAGGAGCTCCTTGCAGTATTTAGTTTGGCAAATGAACGTGCCATCTTTTATTTGCTTAACTTGGAGTCCCAAAAAGAATGTGAGCTCGCCCATCATTGACATTTCAAATTCTCTAGTAGCACCGAATATAATGTCGTCTACATAAACTTGAACCAAAAGGATGTTATTGTTTTTACTCTTGATGAAAAGTGTGGGTCTACCTTTCCCCTTTGGAAACCACTATCCAAAAGAAATTTACTCAAGCGTTCGTACCAAGCACGTGGTGCTTGTTTAAGACCGTAGAGCGCTTTCTTGAGTTTGAAGACGTGATCGGGAAACTCAAAGTCCTCAAACCCCGGGGGCTGGTCAACATACACTTCCTCTTGAATAAAACCATTGAGGAAGGCACTCTTAACATCCATTTGATAAAGTTTAAAATCCATAGACGAAGCAAAAGCAAGAAGTAAACGAATAGCTTCTAAACGTGCTACAGGTGCATACGTTTCTTCAAAATCAATGCCTTCTTCTTGATTGTAGCCTTTAGCTACGAGCCTAGCTTTGTTTCTAGTGATTATTCCATTTTCATCAAGTTTGTTACGGAACACCCATTTCGTACCAATAATCGTGCGATCATCAGGCCTTGGCACCAATTCCCAAACGTCATTTCGTTTGAGTTGGTTTAGCTCCTCTTGCATAGCCAAGGTCCAATGTTCATCGTTTATTGCTTCGGAAATGGTTGTAGGTTCAATTTGAGATACAAAAGCCATGTGTCCTACAGTGTCCCTAAGAGAGTTACGAGTACTTACCCCGCGGTTGATGCTACCGATT